ATATATATATATATATATATATATATATATATATATATATATATATATGTAATATATACATATATACCTAATAGTGAAATAAAATAACAATAAGTATATATACACTTTATGTGTATAAAATATAATAATTATATAACTTTTAAAATGTTTAAATATTTGCTATATAAAATGGCAATGAAATAAGTACAAGCACATAAATATAGAATAATTCCTTGCGCAAAAAAATTAAATTTGTACAATAATTCTTTTTCTTTTTTTTTTCGTACGGAACTTCGTTTTCTAGAACGTTAATTTTCTTTCTTTTATTCTTTCTTTTTCTTCGCTTATCTTTTTCTTCAACGTTCCTTCTCTTTTTACGGACTTTTGAGGTTATTGCCGACGGGAACCGATAATACCGTCGGCCCCAAAATAATGCCCTTCAACGCTCTTAATCCAGCGGCTTAATTTTATTCAGCCGCGCGTCTTTGCACGCCGGTTAATTAACACGCCGTTAACGGCGCCAAATGGCGAGGAGGTTAAAGAAATTTATAACCGAGCCGTCACACCACGTTCTTTTCTCCTTTTTTTCTTTTTTGCACGCCCCTGTGAAATTTCTCGTTCGCCACTTCGGTATATCTCCGAGCGCATTATGCGCAAGCGGAAATAGAGCCCGGCGGCGGGTTAACAATGGAAACCTCGTTCTGGTCGACCTCGTCCAGAATTACGCGGCCGGTCTAACGAATCCGCGGGATCATTATCGCGAACGCACGAAAAAAGTTTATCCATTCATTTACGTCACGCGGAAATTCGGCGAGGCTTTCTTCCGGAACGGGTCTCTTTGCGACTTTATTATTTTATCACAGACACCGCTGCATTCGATTGATTGATTGGTCAGTAACATAGATCTTATGTATTATGTAATGTAAAATCCATCTGGGCGAGCAATATTTAATTTTCTATATTTATTCAACCGTAGACTCACTCTTGATTAACCATATGATATGCATTTACCAACATAACTAAACTTGTGAATATAAATTAAATTTTTGTTAGAAAAACGAACACACACACACATACATACACATGACAGTCTTTTAAATACATATTTTCGATCAAAAGTCAAAAGCACATTTAATCTGTGCTTATAATGCCTGGGGGATGAAAAAATACCTATATGTTATTCAAAAATCGGTTCCTGATTGTGAAATTCGACATAAATTCTTTTAAATCCAATCATTTTCACAAAAATGTAGTTAAACGGACTAGTGTACAAAAATCCTGTATGAAAACTCAAGTAAATCGAAAATAAAATAAAAAATAGTCTTGAAAATCCATTTAGAATATTAAAATAAAATTTAAAAAATATATAGATTTAAAATAAACTTGGATATTATTTTTTACTTTATCTATAATTCAATTTAATATTATTTAATCTTATTGTTAATAACATGTGAATATTTGGGAATGCTGTCTATTTCTGATACTAAAAAAAATATTTGTTACGGTGGCTGGAAAATATTATGTATATTACGTAAAACGTTGCAAACCAAGCGTAACGAAATCATCATTGCCGCCAAACGTTCGTAATCCTCTCGAGACCATTAATGAGATTGAAAATTTTGCAATCTGCAAATCGAATGGTGACCCGATGAGAGCGATAAAGAGAGGTTGCACCAGAGTAACGGATTGGAAATAGTCGCGCCAATAATTTCCCGCAACGAAATCGTGCTCGTCGCATATCGCGACGCTCGCTGCGTCATCACCGTCATGTCGTCATTACGTCGGGTTGCGATGCAACTCTTCTTGCATGTATGTATACATGTACGTATATATGTATGTATATATCGAATATAATTTGTCGCGGCTAGGTAACTCCCGGCAAAATATATGGCAAACGAGTTTCATTCGGCGCGATTAAAATTTCAATCGTGCATGTTCCGCGAAAAACAATTATTTATCGTTGCGATTCGTTCGTCATGTTATCGTTATATTTTTGCCGCATCGAATAAAATACATCATATTTCTCTTTTTTAGGTAGAAAAGGTTGAAAAGACGAAAAAAGCGCAAATTTCATTATATATTATAAAACTGCTCAGATTTTGTATTAATAAGGGAAGCGCTGCCTTTGTGCGATAAGATAAAGATAAAGATAAAACTCATCGACAAATAACATAAAAATAGTGAATATCAAAAGTGTTGTAGATGTCGATACTAACTGAGTTGGTGTTAAATGATATTGCGATCTTTTTATTTAAATTCTATAATGGAATATCAGATTACTTTTTTGATTCAAATTTCAAATTTGAATTTTATTCTAATTCAAATTTCTTTGTAATATTAATCTTTAACATCAGTTTTCACGCTAATAATAAACACTTAAAAGGTTTCAAATGTAATTTTGTGTAATCCGGTACGAAAGTTTTTGATTGACATTATTATATTGTGTGTGTGTGTGTGTGTGTGTGTGTGTGTGTGTTTAAAAGAAAAAAATCTATATAATATTATTCTCTCTACATATTTGGACTATATCTCAATCTAATGCCATACCTATATATCGATACTTGAAGCTGATCCTCTTCGGTGGTCAAGTCCGTCATTCTAATTCCTCTCAAACTCACAGCCAAAGAGACCCTTTGTAGTTTTTTTCCGCTTGCTTTCGCCTGCAACAAATAAAATGGACAGGATAAAGTGTAATCATGTGCAAGAGCTTTCGTCCATTACCAGATAAAATTTAATTTCATAAAAGTATCTTTGTTCTCTATTATTTTTTTCACGATTAATTTCTTTGCAATATAGTCTGATATAATAAAAAGCAAAAAATGTTTTAAAAAATAAAATAATATAACTAAAAATTTCGAAATAATCTTCAAGTCTTCATTTCACGACTTTCTCTATATCATAAGATATATATGTTTATGTTTATATTTAAAAAAATGTACATATAAAATATGATAATAAAAATATGAATATAACACCCGCGATGAAATATCATAGTGGGTTCTATTTTCAAATACTTCATATCCAAATTTCTAATTATGTAGACATTATTATTCTAATTTCTTTGATCAATTAACTCTATTTTTGCATTATATAATAATTTTGACATCCTTATAAGGAGGTATATGTAAAGGAGGAGAAACAAATTTGCCGAGAAGATTAATTATTGTTTCATTAAACAGCAATCTTTTTTTATATTTGTTTTCTAACATCTTAGATTAAGAGCACTTCTATTAGGAGCATTAGGAGCATCTTCCTGCCCTTTTTTCTTAATCATAAAAATTCTATACATAAAAATTTTGACTAAGAAATTTCAAAAAGATAATCTGGAAGATTCACACACTGAATATCAGATTTCTATTTTTTCCATCCCATAAGACAATTTCGTCGTTTGCTCGAGCAGAGAAGGCGATGTTTACGAAAACTACTATTAGAGTAGCTCGGGGAGTTCCTCTAAGGGTATATTCGAGACGTAAACCTGAATAAAATAAAGCAATGCAATGGTCCAGGTTACCTTTTTCAGAAATCAAATATCTTGTTGCTAAATCGTAAGCTTCCGCGTCGCTCCATGGTAATGCAATTACGGGGCTTCACGCGGATTAAGCGGTCCATTTAACAATTTAACCAGCACATAGAGATCCCCGCCGTCTTAATCGCAATCGCGCGAAATTCCGGAACGTTCCTTAATCCAGCGATTCTCGAGCGGATCTCACAGGGCCTTTCTATCGCGGATACGTAATCAGGGAAGGATACACGTTTGCCTAATCCCTACTTAGCAATCTGATTAACCGGGATTCATGATAATACATTTCGCGTTCAAAAATGTGACTATTAACTAATATTTAATATATTCAAGAAAGTACAAAAAAAGAATTAATAATTTAAATTGCTATAAATATATTGGAGCTTTTGTCTCGAATTCTGATTTTAGATAAAAGTAACTAACGATAAAAACAAGGAAGAAACATTACGGGCGAAAAGACATTTTATAGATAAAGTAAATATAATAGTAGCCGCGATTAATTTCAAATTAATACTATTACTTGAATACAGAAGATATTTAAAAATTTAGAGAGATTCTTCCTATAATTTAAGTTTATCTAATCGATATTATCGTTGAACAAATGATGAAATACAAGAAGCTAATTACATGGTAAAGACAAATCTTGTATTAAATTTCATATTTAATAACAATACGAACGATATTATTATCTGTAAAATTATTTTGCAAGTCACTCGAGAGAAACTTTAATTAAAATTTTTGCCCTCTTCTCTATTAAAATAACAACAACAATTATCCGAATAGAACAAAACGAGGTTTGTAATTCGCGTCAATTCTGAGTGAAATCCATAAAAACATAATCGCATACAAAGTTCCATGATAAATTAATGGATTCGTTCGTAAAAAAAGAGGAACTTCGCAGCGATAACAAAGCTTAATAACCCCTATATATCTTTTTGTTTATTTTATAATTACCACGTTCAATTTGCAGCGCCACGAGCGTAATGCTTCTACTTATTCAACCATGCTTTCGACAGTTATTTGTTGCAAGAAATCGGATATAAGCGCATTTCCTGCTTTTCCGATAAATTAAATATGTTAATGCCCATTATCTTCTCGTTTTAAAAAGAAAATCAAAATTAAAATGTTTTCACAAATTGTTTTCTCTTTGTCTCTTTTTCATTTGATCGCAACAAAACGTTCTAGACGTCTCTCTTTGACTGACAAGTAGCAACTTATATATATTGGCACTGACTCATGTCTGTTAATTCAAATTATATCTAAAAGGTCAGGTTAGGGTGTATAGGTAATTTAGGGCGTCTTGTATCAGCAAGCTTCTTGCTCGCAAACACTAAATACCATTATCAGCGAGAACTTGCGGCAAGAGTTACATGATGGAAACTGTGTAGAGTTACCTTTATGGTCGCGACAAGACAAGACGTTGCTATTAGACGCGCGAACAACATTATCTTCTACTTCGCGACCGAGACACTTTAATTAGTGAGCAAATTATCTCGAAATAATAAAGACAATATTTCTATGTTTAACCGTCGATGAAACCTGTGAAGTATAACATCTCGAAAGCGTCTAAAAATTAATTAGTGTTCACAGTATAACAGATCTAAGAATGTTATGAAAAATATATTTCATAACTAATTGTATATTATACACGCTTAATTTTTCAAAAGAAAGTTCGTTTCCTAATGAAAGACTAAAATAGGCAAACAAATTTATTATTCCTACGGTTGACAAAGGATGCCGTGGATACGCGAATTCTCTTTCAAAACACGGAATATGGCTGCGACGCTACGAGAAGGAATTAACAATATAATGGACGCAATTACGCAAGTACAAAAGACGATAAGAAAGGAGAAGACGAGTCCGACGAGGCAGTTAGCGCGCAAAGACGAGGTGCAATGCAGGCTATGAGCAGGAAGTTCCCCGACGCAGAATACGATTGCACGCGTCGAGAAACTTTCGAATCGATCCAAATCGACATATAGCTCGGCGTTCACAAAAACCCAATGCCGAGGGTTCTTGTTCGGCATTGTAGACGCGATGCAGTAAAATCGTTTGAAGCGAAGCAGCTTAGTGCAACACGAACAGTCAAACCGGGCAATATACTTCACGTTTTATGTTGTTCTGGCTTGTAGTTTCGCATTTACAGTTAGATCGCGTTTTTTGGAATTTTGTGTAAATGATTTTTATAATTATATTTGTCGCGTGTATATTATATAATTTTATAAATTTTATACAACGATATTTTTTGTATAAATTTTATATAAATTATATTTATTTGGAAATTATAAATATATTATAGAAAGAGAGAAAGAAAGAGAAATTCTCTTCGCATAAATAATTTAAATTATAAATTTATTATAAGCATTATATTTTAGATTATTTATCATCGAAATGGGCAAAATTCTCTGACATGCGTGGACTGAACCCTCCCCGTTAATAATTATCTAGGAAATTGCCGAAGTACATACAGTCATACACTACCGCTTTCTGCGATGCTGTCCATGTAATCTCTCGGTATGAGTTGTAATCGCTTCGAAATTGGAATTATATGAGGCGTGCGAAGTTTCGTTATTAATTAATTATGTTCCTCGAATCGTTGCTAAATCGCGTAAATTTATTTCCTACCTGATTACGTTATTCAACGAGGATTTCGCTAAATCTGCTAAATTAAATCGAAATTTATAGATAGAACTTTATCTCATTCCTGAATTCGATTTCTTCTTTCAATCTGATTAATGATAAAATTGATTTTCAAATAATTCTTGTAGTACTCTTATCAAATTAATTAATATGATTTTGATAGAGAGAGGGAGAGAGAGAGAAAGAGATAAACGATATTTAATATAATATTTTTAACATTAATTACTAATATAAAGACTGTATTCAAAACTCTATCAAACGATAAATTCATTGCAAACCTTTTTTGTCGCAATAATTTTATTTCTTAAATCAATTTTTATTTTTAATAAAACGTTAAACGTCATGTATTCGGTACTATTTTACGAGTAAAGTAAAACTCGTTTCATCGGAAACAATATAAACAATGTTTGCGATATTTCACGTACAAAGTCGAACGTAATTAACATGAGTGGAAGTTGAATCAAACATTTCTAATTAATGCCGTTTTTTGTTTATTTTACCGTTTTTCGTTTTTCATCGCGTTTTTTGCTGCATTTTTTTAATTCCCGAATTCCGCGCATTAATAGCCATGATTGGAAAACGCATTCATGATTCGACAAAAACTGTGTCAGCGATCGACAACATCCGCAGGCTGTTGAACAATAAAGCACGAAAAAAAAAAAAAAGAATTAGACGAATTCCTCGTCAGCCGTGACAGAGACAAAGTGACGAATGAACGCGGCGTAAAGTAATCACGATTCATTTTCATTAGCTTTATTAACGGACTCGTGGCTATGCGCGGAATTAGTATCTTGCAATTTCAATTAAATTCTCTTCACGGCGGCCGCGTCGGAAAATGGTTTAAAGTAAATTACAGCGCGATATAATTTCGACGATAAATAATATAGTGCCAATCTCCGGCGCAGATAGCAAACCCGCTTTCTCTCTCTCTCTCTCTCCGCTCGGCAAACGTCAAATTTGTTAATAATTTAAAACTCTGCGCAAAATATTTTACACGCATACATAGTTATAAAGCGTAAATGTGTGTTGTAAACTGTTAAAAAAAAAGATTAAAGAAATATCTCTATATTTAAATATGATTTTATACATTTTGTATTTGCGGAAAAAAGTGCAATTCACATATTGGATAAAAAAATATGGTATGAAGCTATTACATTATTTTTCTGGATCATTAGTTTCCAAAATAAGAATGTAAAAAATTTTCTCAAACTAGGGAGGTAAAAATTTAATATTATATAATATAATATAATATTTAAATCAAATATATGATAGAATTCGCAAATTGGACACAAGACAATCCTTTATTTCGTAATATTTAATTATTTGAGATATGTGATTTATAGCGTAAAAAATAACGATAAATCAACAAAGAAAAAAAAATAGAAAAAATATAATTCATATAAATTTAATAAAAAAATAGTTTAAAAATGCAATTTGAGATTATAAAAAAAATTGTGGGACTATAAATGCTGTTCCAAAATACATTACTAAGCTTAGAAGGTAAATCATGAAAAGATTTCGAATACGCACCATGGTGATGACGGTCTTGATGGCTTCTGCCGTGGCCTCCTCACTCGAGGGTGTCTCGACGAGGGTGCTGCCCAAATATTTGAGGGTGAATCTTGCCTCGGACGTATCCTCAGATTCCTCCCCGTGCGTCGTGCCCGCCGAACCGCTACCCTCTACGCATTCACGGCTATTCGCCAACGCCCATTCCTCGCATAATTCTGAAAGTTAACATCGAACAAAATATTAAGACGCTATAATTAATCTAGCGAGTATTATATATATAATTCGCTTTTTTCTTGCGTAAAATCGCAATGAAAAGAAATCCACCCAATTCAAACCAAAATAATATTTCCCGTAAAATATTTTATTGTTCGAATCTTTCCCGCTCGGCAAACGTCAAATTTGTTAATAATTTAAAACTCTGCGCAAAATATTTTACACGCATACATAGTTATAAAGCGTAAATGTGTGTTGTAAACTGTTAAAAAAAAAGATTAAAGAAATATCTCTATATTTAAATATGATTTTATACATTTTGTATTTGCGGAAAAAAGTGCAATTCACATATTGGATAAAAAAATATGGTATGAAGCTATTACATTATTTTTCTGGATCATTAGTTTCCAAAATAAGAATGTAAAAAATTTTCTCAAACTAGGGAGGTAAAAATTTAATATTATATAATATAATATAATATTTAAATCAAATATATGATAGAATTCGCAAATTGGACACAAGACAATCCTTTATTTCGTAATATTTAATTATTTGAGATATGTGATTTATAGCGTAAAAAATAACGATAAATCAACAAAGAAAAAAAAATAGAAAAAATATAATTCATATAAATTTAATAAAAAAATAGTTTAAAAATGCAATTTGAGATTATAAAAAAAATTGTGGGACTATAAATGCTGTTCCAAAATACATTACTAAGCTTAGAAGGTAAATCATGAAAAGATTTCGAATACGCACCATGGTGATGACGGTCTTGATGGCTTCTGCCGTGGCCTCCTCACTCGAGGGTGTCTCGACGAGGGTGCTGCCCAAATATTTGAGGGTGAATCTTGCCTCGGACGTATCCTCAGATTCCTCCCCGTGCGTCGTGCCCGCCGAACCGCTACCCTCTACGCATTCACGGCTATTCGCCAACGCCCATTCCTCGCATAATTCTGAAAGTTAACATCGAACAAAATATTAAGACGCTATAATTAATCTAGCGAGTATTATATATATAATTCGCTTTTTTCTTGCGTAAAATCGCAATGAAAAGAAATCCACCCAATTCAAACCAAAATAATATTTCCCGTAAAATATTTTATTGTTCGAATCTTTCAAAGAAAAAATAATTTGTGATCCTGAAATTCGATTCGGGAATTTCACATAAAGTAAATTTTGACTGTTAAAAACTTGCGTTGAATGTACGATCATGGAAATAATGCGAAGGTTGTTTCGCAAATTAATAGAAAATGGAGGAATATAAGAGCAGAAATTTGGAAACCGCTACTCTCTTCACAGGCATATAAATCCGGTGGAGATAAATGTTACGGTGGACGGAAAGGGGGATGACCGATGTAACATTAGTCCAGGTTCGTGCAACCACATAAGCCAACCTCGTTGTCTGTCCACTTCGTGACAGGAATAGCCGCACGTGTGTTACAATAATGGATGCCCCGGGTGTGTACATCGTTCTCCAGTCCAAAACTTGTCGAATAGTTGCAATTCCGTGGAGAGAAATTACGATGCAAAAATGTCAGATCACCATTTTATGAAACTTGACTCAATAATGAAGTGAAAATATTTAAGAACGTACAGAAGATTATTTTTTTTCTGGGAAAGAAGTTGATGGAAATCGAATTCATCGCTTTCATCGACAAGTTATAATTATTACAAAATAAAGTAAAGTACAATTCCCGAATCGATAGAACTTATAAGTATTACAAAGTGAGAAACCAAGTACATTTTGCTCTTTGATGCACGATAAAAGAGAAAAGTTCACAGAAAATTACGTGTTTTGAAGAAAGTTAAAATTAATCATCTCGTCTTTAAAAGAAAGAATTGTAACTCTTATAAAATAAAAATTGCGTGTACTTATATCAGAACTGATTTTTTTATCGATAGTTTTTTATATATTAATTATTAATGACTCATTGATCTCATTCTCTCTGTTTAATATAATTACACTTAAATTTTTACAACATACACAAATGTAATCGGTACTACAGAAGAGAAAATTCGCGAAACCGTTTTCTTACCACGATTCGTCTTCGTCGTAAGTTAAGGGAACAGTATTGCTCGCTTGCGAGAAAGTACGTGGGCGAATGTATGTACGTACGACATTATTGTCAACTATGTACAACTTTACCCGCGGAACAATTTTGTAAAAGTGGCGAGAACTCGTTACCACTTTTGTGCCGGGGCATCGTCGTGACACCTCGCGATCGAGAAAAGAAAATCGAGTCTCGCGCGATCCCGCGGGCATCATTCCTACGAATATACGTGTATTGCTTTAAGGGAGTTAGAGGGTTCGTGCTACAATGTGTCAAAAGTTTTCGTGCCACCATGGCACAACGATATATGCGATCCGACTTTCTCACTCTGACACGCGACTCTTCTCTCACAAATCGACCGGAAAAATAAAAGCCGAAGTACAAATCGAGTAATCCGATAAAGGCCATCAATCGCGTTGCGTATAGCGTGTATCTAAAGTCTTTCAAGTACAAACTCCTCCATAAAGTTTGGAACAAAAAAGATCTTACTTTAAAATTTATTTAATTTTAAATATCTTAATAACACTATTTAAAATTAAGTTTTATTAGAATAAAATGCATTTATACAAAATAAAATCGAAAACTAGGTTTTTTATGTTCGTAAAAAAATAGTGTATTATAATTTTTGATATTAAAGATTACTTTTTCTAAGCATCGACATTTGCATAATAAAATAAAGCAAGCTTTGGTTAATTTGATTTAAATGAGTCATTTTTGCAACACACAATATATATGTATATACATACGAAATACACTCGCGATTCGCTGTCGGTGAATAAAAACAGACAGTAGACGTTTCCGCAAATCGAGGAACGCGGAAGACATGAAAGCGCAGGAAACGCGATCGCCGCCTGGCCCATTTGTATCAATTTGTCAATGAGCACTTTCTGCGTACTTTTTTTCTTCCGACTATCACCGACTATCAATCTTTAACAATCTTCTAACGTCCGGAGAGATTCTCGCTCGATTTCGCGATAAAAGCGGCTGCTCCGAGCAATTTCTTCGATAAACGTCGCACCGCGAAATGCATCTTGACGTACGATATCGTGATTGCGAGATGCATCATATCACATATGCGCGTATAGCTGATAAGATATCTTATATTGAAATTTATGATAAAGTGGCTCTTCCAATAAATATCTTGCCTTAGAAAAATTAATTTTAGAAATATTGCAAGTTTTTCAAAAAAATTCCATTCAAAAAGATATAAATTTCAGATCTCTTAGTTTTTGATTTTAATGCAATTTTTATACATATGAGATGTGCGTGTAATTTTATACAAGTATATAATATATACTGTAAATTATATAAAATAATATTTTTAATACATTATATATGATAATAAATATTTAAATATTTAAATTTTAAATATAACAGATCTCTTTTTTAATGCAATTTTTATACATATGAGATGTGCGTGTAATTTTATACAAGTATATAATATATACTGTAAATTATATAAAATATATAAAATAATACATTATATATGATAATAAATATTTAAATATTTAAATTTTAAATATAAAAAATATTTTAAAATACATTCTTTTTATTATTTTTTTAATGCAGATTAAATGTTAATATACATTTCATGTATATTTTTACATTATAATTTATATTATGTTCATGGACAAAAAGCTGTTTAATGTAAACATGGCAGATTTCAGACCGCGATAAATTTAGCCGTGACGCGAATATTTATTCCACGGATGTTTCCTTCGACGGAATAAAAAGAATTGACTTCGGAGCCGATCGGGCAACGAGTATTTTAATATTTCAACGGCCGCGTTGACAGGGTACTACGTGAAGCCATTCTGCGCGCGACGCCGCTGACGCAAACGCAGCACCATTCGGCTGAAAATTTATGCCTAACCGTACTATCCCCATCCGGCGCAGCGCGGTATGGAAAACCGATATGTATGGTGTGTGCCTGTGAAGTTCCATTGCGGAAAAGGTAACCGAAGAAACAATGGATGCGATGAGAACTTTCAAGTATTATTTAGGATATTTTATCGCTTTCATAATTTTTAGTAGTACAAATAATCGATTTTTTAACCAAATTTGTAGCAAATACATTTTTGATTCATTTCTTTTTCGATTATTCTTTGACACCCAACGTATAAGACTCCTACGGAAATTTATGAACTATAATAAGGACGATGTTACATCGATAACATAAATTTTACGAGCACTTCGATGTAAGAGTATCTCGTCGATCTAAGTATTTTCACACGCGGAGAATCTTCGGAGACACGCAGTTTCCATGACAAAATGGAAAGATCTCTGGTCCGAAGAATTCTTTGTCATAGTTCGCGGCAGCGAATCGTTTTTCTCTCTTTATTTCTCTCTTTTTTTCTCTATCTCCCTTGGGCAAAAGCAATTTGTGGGGTGCTTTTCCCGGTTCGGACGCGGACTACGCGAAATTGGGCCAATTACTTGAAGTTTTTTCAGCAATTACTAAAACGACCGCGGAACGACTGAGCTTGGGAGAGAAATTAACTATCCGAGAAATTGAGAGAGGAAAAGAGAAGGAAGAGAGAACATGCGTTTTTAGAAGTCTAATTTTTACACTTGGCAGATGTATTCATGTTTATGCGGTCTTGATTCTCTGATTGGCGTTTGCATCGTAAAATCAATGGCGTGATGGATATAAAAAACACATATCTTAGGATATAAATTTCCCTTAAATAGTTCGAGTAGAGACGAGAATTCGATTCAGTCGTGGATTGACCGCGAATAAAATCTTCGTCGGGGACCTTTCAGTGCGCGATCGTGCCAGTCGATTTTATTTCTACCCGCACTTGGCTTCCGATCTGATTCGTCCGATGTACGCGCGGGGTTAACCGCGGGGGAAACTTGTTCCTTAAGCTTGTTGCTCACCAACGAGATTTTTCCTCTCTCATGTTCAATACATACCGCTGGAGAACGATAGGAATGGAATTGATGCGCTTTTTCTCTTTCTTTTTCTCTCTATCTCTCCGCGTGAGTTCTCTTGCGAATCCGCTCGCGAATGCGATCTTATCAATGCAACGAGGAACATCGCCGCAATTCTCGACGCGCATGTATACATAGTGTACGTAGATTTGTTTCTTTGAAAAGAGATAGATTAAACTGCGAATAGAAGATGATCTATAATAGCGAGACATCCAACAATAAAGAGATACCAGAGATATATATTTTACGCACGATGTATCCTTTAAATCTCCTTTAAACGTTGAAGCATGCTTTCAGACCATTAAGTTTAACTAGCTAAAGGACTATTGAGTTTGACGTTAAAAGCTAGTTTCTTGGAAATATTGGAAAAACCATTTTCTTTTTAAAATATATAGGTCGAAAAATGTTTTATTTTTTGCACGTCTCAAAAACTTTATTTAGAGACGACTTGCTAAAAGATTTAAAAAAAAAAGGTATTTCCAATTCTGTGCACACGAGATTATCGGAATTAAATGTCTTTTGTTATCGTTGCTCGTTAAGGAGAGATATATACGGTGATTTTACTGGTAATCATGGATATCGCGTACTGCGAAGGCAGAAAATTGAGAAGGAAAACTAATGCGACGTTCCAACGAACGATTCGCCATTTCGCCCGTATTTCGCGACGGCGATTCACCATAGGATTTCTATTGAATACGGCTTTCCATCCGGAGAGCTGGACGCGTATCCATATCGGTTACGCGCTTTCATTCGTTTCTCCGGTCCGCGACACGTAACTGCTGCCGGATATTTCTTTTCTCCCTGTATGCATGCCGAATATTTCTCTACGTGGAATCACAACTGAATTCCATCGCTGCCACCGGTAAAACCGGTAAATATCGACGATGTGAAATTATTGAACGGACTATTCCTTTCGCGTCTCTTCCAGTCCGCGAAATTGCGAGTGCACAAACGTGAAAAAGCGTCTC